CATCAAAGACGAGGAGAGCCTGCCGGACTACCACCCGGCCTTATCTATACAACGCTTCCTCGACGTATTCGGGCCATTGGTCTTCCGCCTGCTTCAAGCGGCCCTGCTGAGGAAACGGATCCTCTTCGTGGGCGTCCCGCCGGTCAGGACTGCCTGCGAGTTTGGTACGTCTGGGATCTTGTCATTGGTTATCTTCCAGCTAACATGCCAGTCTACAATCTGTCTGTCCTGTCTAGCATATCGCCTCGCGACACCGAACGTTTGCCTCCAGAGACGGAAAACCTCCTCCGCCTACCCACCCTCTTCTCCGTCGGCGTACACGACATACCTCTCCTCGACGACCTTCGCAAGCCCAAACACGGCGGACACACACCGGGCCTCGAGCCATCAGAGGGCTGGGCGGCGTGCACAACGGACGAAATCATTGTCACAAAGACGCAGCTCTACGACATCATCGTCGAATTACCACCCAGTTACGATGCGCCCCCACAAGAACGCCGCTGGCCGCGGATACGAACGAGCGATGGCAGTTTGATCAAGGCTAGCCAGCGGGATGTTGCGCGCTACAAGCTTTTGCACAAGGAGCTTTTCAAGCAGCGCACGAGATCGGAAACATCGCCCGAGCCGTATACGGACGACGAGAACGACGACACTGCTCCCCTGCTGTCACGCGACGAGGTCGATACCAAACGCGCCGACGACGACTTCAACGAAGCATACGACGACACGGTGGTAGAACCAACAACGTGGTCAAGGCTTGCATATATGGGCTACATGTGGTGGGCTTCGGCTGGCGAGAGAGATGCATACACGACAGCCGAGCGGGAGACGGACCGCGAGCTGATTGGCGACCTCTCCGCCTACTCACAGTCGTTGGAGACAGCGATAATTGCGTACTTCCATCGACAGTCTTCGCTGCTCATACGAACGCTATCGCAGATCATCGAGGCGGATACACAAGGCGAAAGAGGAGACGACGACGATAATGACAGCGATGCGTTGATTGTGGACAGAGATGACCTGTCGCGAATGGGGCTGGATACCTGGTCAGAGGCTGATCGCGCCTTTGTGCAGGAGTTTGGTAGTCTGTACTTTGGACGTACTGTTGGGGTCAAGGGCAGTGAAGTGGAGTGCTGTGGTTTGCGGGTGCCAATCTTCTAGCTGGGCTGGGAGCGTTTAGCTAGCCACAAACCGGCAGGTTCCCGGTTGTGTGGAGGGCTTCAACGGTGAACACAGACTGTTGTGGTGTAGGTTAATGACAGTCTACTTGTTGCGGGCAACGTTGGAATCCGCTCCATCGCATTAGTGGCGCTAAAATGTTGGGATCGTGTACCTGGAATACCCGCTTTCAGTCACAGGCTGAATGGCGTACAAACAACATGTTTGCGGCTGTATACACGTCCGTATAGCTATGCACACCTCGGTCATCATGCTTTGGGTTTCCGCGTGAAGCCTCGGAGGTCCGTACACAATCAAATCCGCGTAGCATGATTTGTCGGTTTGGTAGAGCTCAGGCAGCCCGAAGTCGGACCCCGCAATTGAATGCACAGGGCGCGCGCAAGCGAATTCTGCGCCCCGCATCGTCATATGCCATTCCCAGTGGCCGGCTCAAGGCCTTAGTATCACCGACCAAAGTTTTCTTTTGCTGTGAATCATACCTCTCGCTGTACTAATAGTCTGCCTGTGCGCACGTCTCCTGCGTCTTTCCATATCCCAAGTGTGTTTACTTTGCTCGAATTCACCCGAGATACATTTTTGGCCCTCCATTGTTGTTGCTGGGCCATCAAGAGACTGTTCTCAAAGTAGCGCCTCAAGATACCTGCTGCATTAATCACACCAAGATGCCTATGCTCAAAGAGCCCTGGAAGAAGTACCATCCCTTCAAGCCATTGAACCTGCCGGACAGGACATGGCCTAACAAGACCATCGAGAAGCCACCACGCTGGCTGTCGACCGACCTCAGAGATGGTAACCAGAGTTTAGTAGATCCCATGGTAAGTACCAATCCACCCAGAAGCCGCTGCGAACCAGCATCTGACACGGACCGCAGGATGGCGCGCAAAAATGGGACTACTTCAATATGCTAGTCAAGCTCGGCTACAAGGAAATCGAAGTCTCCTTCCCCTCCGCGTCGCAAACCGACTTCGACTTCACGCAACGCCTAATCCAAACACCCGGCATAGTACCTGACGATGTCTGGATCCAGGTCCTCTCGCCATGCCGGAAAGAGCTCATCCGCCGCACCGTCGACTCCCTCAAGGGCGCGCGCAAGGCCATCCTCCACCTGTACCTCGCGACCAGCCCGTGTTTCCAGCAGATCGTCTTCAACATGAACGACGATGAGACAATCGCCCTCGCAGTCGAATGCACAAAGTACGCGCGCTCGATAACCAAGGACGACCCTGCGCAAGCCGGCACAGAGTGGGCATACGAGTTCTCGCCCGAGACTTTCTCAGATTCGTCCCCAGAGTTCGTCATCAAGGTCTGCGAGGCTGTCAAGGCAGCGTGGGAACCAAGTGTAGAGAACCCGCTGATCTTCAACCTGCCAGCCACCGTGGAAATGTCGACACCCAACGTCTACGCCGATCAGATCGAGTACTTCTGCAAGAACATCTCCGAGAGGGAGAAGATCTGCGTCTCTCTACACCCACACAACGACCGAGGATGCGCAGTAGCGGCGGCAGAACTGGCACAAATGGCGGGTGCAGACCGAGTAGAAGGCACGCTCTTCGGCAACGGAGAGCGCACAGGAAACGTTGACCTCGTCACCCTGGGCCTCAACCTGTACACCCAGGGCATACATCCAAAGATCGACTTCTCTGATCTGAAGTCAATTATCGATATGGTGGAGAGCTGCAACAAGATCCCGATACATCCGCGCGCACCATACGGAGGCCAGCTTGTTGTATGCGCCTTCAGCGGCTCACATCAAGACGCAATCAAGAAGGGATTCCAGATGCGCAAGAAGAACGGCGCGGACAACGAGAGCCGGTGGCAGATCCCATACCTTCCCCTCGACCCCCAAGACATCGGCCGCACGTACGAAGCCATCATCCGCGTCAACTCACAAAGTGGAAAGGGAGGAATCGCCTGGATCATCCAGCGCCAGCTCGAACTCGACCTGCCTCGTGGTCTGCAAATCGCCTTCTCCAAGATTGTGCAGAAGGAGACCGACATGCTCGGCCGCGAACTCCTGCCAACCGAGATCACGAACCTCTTCGAAGAAGCCTACCATCTCAAACGCAACCCTCGCTTCTCCCTTGTCGATTACGAAATCAAGGCCGACCGATCAGAGACACCTCTGCCACCGCAAGACGGCCGAACAGTCAGCAGCCGCAACCTGCGCCGTATCTTCAACGGTGTCATTGAGATTGACGGCCAGGAACACAAGATCCAGGGTTCGGGCACCGGTGCGCTGTCATCGCTGGCCGATGCACTGAGGAGTCTGGGTATCGACCTGGACGTTGTAGACTACAACGAGCACACGATTGGTACAAGCAAAGACGCAAAGGCCGCGACCTACATTGGTTGCACAGCCGCGCAGAGCAGTCAGAAGGTCTGGGGTGTTGGCATCCACCAGGATGTGGTTCAAGCGTCTCTCATCGCTATGTTGAGCGCAGCTTCTTCAGTAGGTCTTCGCTCATGATAATAAGCAGCACTTTGGCTAACACATCACAGTTCCTATCATCGAGACCTACCACACCCATTCCTTTCCGCCCCAAGCGATCGAACACCCTCGAGATCCCCAGCCCAGACTCAAGTCCTACACGAAACGGCAAACAAAATGGAAGCACAATAGTGGATAAGCTGGAGGCTGCCGTTAACGGCAGTCAGGCGGACGTCAAGAGTGCGGGGGTGTAGCGGCATGAAGTCTTATCAACGCTTCACAGTTCAGTTTCTCCGTTCACACATATCGCATACAGCATTTGGGATGTAAAAGGTCGGGGCATTGGAGTTTTAAAAGTGCTGTCTAAACGGAATGAGAATATCTAAACAAGGTATCAATAGCTGTACTCAAATCACACATGTAGAACCTTACAATATCCGCGTTCTGTGTTCTTGTCCGCTTGCCTACCAGACGTTTTCATCGGCACAGCTCCCACAGCAATCGCTCTTGTTCTTGCCATGCCCAGGGCGTATCCGACATCGGCACATGCATCCTACACAACGCTTATCGCCGGCTCATGGACCCGTAGATGTGGATACCGGTTGGTGTGAAGTAATGCCCGACATATGGATGACATACCGGCCCAAACTCTATCTACAACTCCGATCCGTGTCACCATATCCATACAAGATCACGATCATAACCCTGCCCACCCCCAGCGCATTCTCTCTACCAACAAGGACAACCACCATGGCAGAAAACGACCGGAACAGCATCCCCCCAGCCCCAGCCTACTTCCCCACATCCGCCGACTCCCCCCTCCACCCCCCAACCGCCCTCTACACTACTCTCCGCGACCTCCCCTCCACCTCCCTAATAAAGACTCAGGACTTCACCATCCCACCCCGCAGCGGAAAAGCTTGGACCGTACCCGCAGGCGCACTATTCCGTCTCTCCACGCCCGAAGGCCCCCAAGTCGGCGATTTAAACGTGTGGAACCAGCATGATCCCCGAGAGCGCTTCTGGGCATCTAGGACGAGGCAGTTGCAGGGGAGTCATGTGGTGCAGGGGGATAGGCTGTGGAGTTGCCTCCCGTTTATGAGGCCAATGTGTGGGCTTGTGGAGGATGGGTGTGAGATTAGGGATTCTGGGGGTAAGGGGACGGGAAAGGGGAGGGAGAGCAGCAGGGATGAGAGGGGTGGGGTTACGCAGTGGGGTGGACGGTGTAATGATCTGCTGGGGACGAGGTGTGATCCTTATGGTATGTCTGAATGCGCGGGTCTGGGGTTTGGTTTGGGATGGGCTGTACCGCTGGACTCTTCTTGTTCTTTTAGATTCTTCCGTTCAAATAGAGTATGCGGAAGTTATGCTAACGATTAACGCAGTTTCTAACATGCTGACATCCTCATCCTACGATTACCACTGCCACTCCAACCTCGTCCGTTCCATCTTGCCATATGGACTGACAGAATTCGACGTTCACGACGTACTCAACGTATTCCAAGTCACAGGTCTAGATTCGCAAGGCCGCTACTTCATGGAAGCTAGTCCTGCGACCAAGGATAGCTTTCTTACCTTCTTCGCCGAGTTGGACTTGTTATGTGCGCTGAGTACATGCCCAGGTGGTGACCTAAGCCGGTGGGGCTGGACGCAGGCGGAAGAGGGAAAAGAGAAGAAAGAGGGAGATGATGATGAGGGGATGAAGAGTACGTGCCGACCTATTCGGGTAGAGGTTTATGAGATCAAGGAGGAAGTCAAAGGGGAGGTGTTGAAGGGGTGGAAGAAGCCGGAGAAGAGTGGATATAGGGGAATGCATGGGATGCGTATTCCTGAGGGCGAGGCCTAGTCTTTCCTGAATTCTACAACTTGTTACTTCCATGAATTTTGCCGCCATCGAGCACAATTGTGTCTCCGTTGACATGTCCGCCAGCCCTACTGCTCAGATATACAACTGCAGCTGCGATGTCCTCTGGCTTTCCTACCCTTCCATTCGGGTTAGTCTTTCCCAACGCCTCCTCACCACCAGCCTTCTCCATCAGTACACCTGCCATCTTGCTCATGAAGAATCCTGGCGCAATACCGTTAACAAGAATGTGTCTGGGTCCTAGTTCAACAGCAAGGTTGCGCGCAAGATGCAGGACTGCGGCCTTGGATGCGGAGTACGACCAAGAGCCTGTCTCACCGAGAGATCCCACGCCAATCCCTGCTACGCTGCCTGTTACGATGACGCGCGAGGGGTCTTGGACTGTTGCAGCTTTGGTGAGGAGGGGTGTGAGTCTGCGCCTATATCAGCGCTATTATCAGATAGTAAAAGAAACGAAAGACTTACTTCTGGATTGTAAAGAAGACACCCTTGACGTTCAAGTCCATGACCTTATCCCATCCGTTCTTCTCATCCGCCTCTTCAAACTTGCTGCCCCAGGTAGCTCCTGCATTGGCAAAGAGAATGTCCACGTGATCGGTATGCTTGCTGACCTCCTGCACAAGACGGTCGATCTCGGAGACCTTGGAGCTATCCGCGGGAATGGAAATAGCTACTGCACCAGGCGACTTGTTGGGGAGCGCATTTAGGGCTGCGACGGCGGCATCGCAGGCTGAAGCTTTACGGGAGGTGATGAAGATCTTGGAGCAACCAGCTTGCATCAGGCTGGGCTTGTGTTAGGCAGGTGCGCTGGAATGATGGATGGAAGCAGATGGATTCATTTACCCTGATGCTGCATGGAGACCTAGTCCTCGAGATCCGCCGCTCACGACTGCGACTTTGCCTTTCAAGCTAAAGATGTTGGTGAAGTCGTGCAGCTGCACATCTTGTTCCGCGGATGCCATGATGATTGTACGTATTGAGTATTATGTATATGGCGACAATGGAACGTTATTTGCAAACCAACAATGCGTTACTATGTGGGAGTGTTGATTAGTCGTGGTTCACGACTGCTCATGTAACGACCTCGGTGCTGACGGTGCCCAGCCATCCGAAGTTGTATCAATACATACGTGATGTACCGAGGCTGTAAGTCGCGCTAGTCTACTGCGTGGGGTAGCGTGTTATCCAGTGCACATGCTCTTTCTCAGGTTGTGACGAGGACTTTCAATGAGAGAGTCGTTGATTCGTTGTTCATAAGTCGAGGTGGGAATATACACGATAGATTGCGACCAGGCGGATGCGCGACATCGAGTCGGAGAATAATTCGCTCTAAAGCTTGCCTATCTCCTCCACGCATAGTTCCGGAGAATACCAGGGTGCTTTTATCTGCGCCGCGCGCTGCGCTACAAGAAAAAGCATTATCTCGAGTGTGGGCTAGAGGTGCAGTTAAGGTTGTCGGATCTAGGTGTGCGGCAATCTCGGAGCATCGTACAAGGACATAATGGGGACGCTGGTGTGAGACATGGCTGGACTCGAGGGCCACAACGTCGAGACTCAACGTGAATCGCATTGCTCAAGTGAGATGTCGACGATGGCTACGGCACGCGAGCGAAGGTCCAATGCCCAGGTAGTGTGCGCGCTCCAGTGCGCCCGCCTCGAGTATCGGAAGTAAACACCGGCTTCCTAGTCGGCGGGAGGCATGGAAGGCGCGAAGAACTTGGCGCATTCCGACGACACCACGCGCACCCACCATGAAGAGCGTAGCGGATATTGCAGGAGCATCAACGTGCATCCTTCAACGGTTTTGCTGTCGATACATACTGTTCTCGCTCTCCTCGCCGACCTGGAGAAACTGCCGCGAACAGGACGACGCGTTATCACATCGCCACTCTACCCCAACACGACTCCGAATTTCGCAGATCTCCATCCGCCCGCCAGAGACAAGCTTCTCCCTTTCTCCAAGCGTCTAAGAGATTTTCTGCATGACCTCCTATTCGGGACTGACATGTGCTGATCGCCCCGGTTGGAAACCGCCAGGCGAAAGATCACCGGCGAAATTTTAGCCTGCCTCCAACGGCGTCTTATCGGAGGGCCGATCGCACGTCAAACTCGGGTTGCAGAACTCAACTTCGGGTCCGCCAAGACACATTCGGTCCATTCTCGCAGATGAGCGGCTCACAGCACGCTACTCTTCCTGTCATCCCAGTCTGTTTTCTCGAAACCCCATCGGCTGCCTTCCTTGGACGGAAGCTACCGACCCGCCAGGGGGCCGCGCAATCATAGATGATCAACGAGCGATCACAACTGTAGATCTTTTCACTTCTGTTTACTACTCAGAGTACGTACGGGCCTCGTCGACACACAACTATGCGGCCGGAGGGGACGGCATCAAATCGATACTTGAGCAGACGTCGGGTGTCACATTCCATACCTTCCGCTCCACGCGACATGTGCAACGGCGCACAGGATATAAAAAGATCAAAACTCCGACTTGCAGACACAAATCGTACCGTAGAAGCATTTTGCGGGCCTCTGGTATGCACGTCCTGATCGACACGCTCAACAGATGCTACAGACCATTGAGATTGGTGCTCGCTCTTGCGGATACCGCAATGTACCCTGCCGTGTCTCAGAAACATAGCACCGTTCTTGAGACGCCCGTCAAAAGCCTCGTAAGGCACCTATCCGGGCTTGCTATCCGGCAGCTGTCAGTTTCAGGTGGCGAGGGGCCGCGGCGCGGTCTAGACGAGCGGTTCGGCAGTTGGCAGTAAATTTCCACCCGCCTTGACCTGGTTTCTGGTCACCTCGGCTTCGCATTGCTCTTCATGTTGCATCTGACTGGCCGAGCCGCTGTCGACGCCAAGCTCGAAATCAACAGAAGGACAGACTAGCCATACATTGGCCTTGCCTGTGGGGCTTCCGCGACGGGCGCGGGCACGCGCTGCAACGTGGGGAACCACGTTTTTGCAAGCGGTGCCACGCCTGATGACGGGCGCCGCAAGGTCAGGGATCTTCTCCGGCGACGCGCGCAGAACAATTCTCGGAACACTGTCCTGAATGAGGTAGTGTTAATTCAACGCTTAGTGTACTTACCCAAGAAGATGTACGAAGAATCTTGTTCATAGTGACATCAGTGTGAGCATTACGTAGGTTCAAGGTCTGCCAACAAATCGGAAGCCACACGGCAATTGATGTGGCTGTGGCGTACCGTGCACGGCGATTCCACCGCTCAACGTGCTGTGGCTGGGGAGGCCTGGCTACAGTCTCCGCGAATCCCACTAGGGCATGTCGGGACAGATCGCTAGTGAACCACCATGACGGTGTTCCCTATCTTCTTGGGGACCGAAAACTGATCCTTCGGCGCCTTTTTCGCCATCGTCTTTCAAAGTCCAGAGCGCTTCATCCGAGTAATCCTCGTGCTTGCAGATTCGAAATCCCGTGTGCTTTTGCCATGGCTGCAGGCGTTAGCGAAGTGCCTTTCTTCAATGCCGCATGCAGGTACACCCCTGTATGAATCTCGCCGAAAAGGTATGCCTTGGACGTTTTGGGTGAAGCCATGTGGACCGTCTGGCATTTAGGCACGAACCGATCATCTTCTGGAACATGAGGCTTCATCAGAGCCGGACAAGCTGTCAGGTAAGACTAGCCATCCGGATCTACGTCCGAGCCTGCTAACGGAGCTGCCAGCCCGTGTAGAATTTGAACTAGAACACTCGCTTCGTCTCATTCTAGTCGAAGCAGCACCAGCTGTATGCCGTGTGCGGAGCCATTGGGCAGTACTCACGAGACACAAAAACATAGGTTTGCACGACGACTTCTATCGGTCCACTCGTGGACGGGAGCCAATCCACATATCTGGGCATTCGTGGTACTATCAACCCGCAATAAACTTTGCTCCTCCCGTATACCGGTACGTCGAATGCACAGGAGGCCTCTGCTTCGTGGTGTTGTTGAACAAGGCTTGCTAAAGTCCCCTACTTTCCCAGGATACGGAGCTTTGTACAGGGTCCCCGAAGCTCCTTTCCATTTCAGCGCGTCGCCAAGTCGACACGTGCTTTAAACGAAGCACCTTCACCAATCCCCTGTGTCGCTCAGAGCATCCATCCGAGATCGAAAGGTGGCGACCTGACAGGGTCCTTCTACCGCCTTACCACAAGGTTGCTAGACGAACTTCACTGCAACTGGGAATTGAGCTGATCATTGCAGCATTTTGACTAGCATACTAGCCCCATACGACGCCCCGAAATACCCAGTATTTCCTTCATCGGATCTTTGCCGAGATTTAACATCGTTCCCACGAACCTTGCCGTCTGCCGAAGCGTCTCTTGTCTCCTCACGGCCGTGAAAGTTCAATCATCACACACCACCTCGCAGTTCACCCTAACCAGTCTAGCCACTGACCCTAACCTAAAGCTGTGGCATCTCGGCCACTCAGCCGAGCGGCTGGCTGACAGCACTTACTCAGGCGACACAGACCCGACTATCGCGCTCCAGCCTTCTGTATGCCCGAGTCACTCAATCTGCCCAACCTACCGCTCGCTTGCACGGTTTCTCCACTTGGAGCGAAGACCTGTCACTTATCTTGTTCATCCACAAGTTTCCATCTTCCGCATCTTGCATCACGCCAAGGCAGCATGAGGTGTTGACGGTTGGCTTCCATTGGTTCAACACGTCTACCTGGTCCCACAAGCTACTAATATCGTTGGCCCGTTCTGAGTAGCGCTGTGTTCGGCTTCTACCGAGACCACTTACTCTTTCTCCATAGCGACATCATCTCGACTAGAACTTGTTACCTACCAAGCGAATTTCGATACCCACACCCGGCCTGTCCTCGAGCGCTTGGGCTATCTCTCACAATGCGCAAATCTCCGCCAGGTTCCAGTGGGCAGTCGCCACGGACCATGATACCACCACCAAGTCCGTTCACGATGTCGCATCCGGTTGCTCGCACGACTACTCTGGCGGCGCCTACTGGCCCACAG